GTACAAGTAGGAAACCCTAAACTTACTGTACCCCATAGTAACTACCCCACTACAGCCTAAACAAACTGTAGCAGATATAACATTTGACAGTGATAAGCGGATATGATGTTTCGAATGATTACACAGATCCATAACATCTCCAGCTCGAATTATGTTATCTCATCATGTGCATATTCCCATACTCAATAATTAGTTTTCAGAATATTTTAATGCAAATGCTTATTATGTTATTAGTGGCCATAAGTACATCACTTAGCTAAACAGTTGTATTTTCAAGAAGAGAGTCACAAATCAAAACATTTACGCAATATCCAAACCCGTGCAATGAAAGTGGAAACAAACAAAAAAATTCCACATATAACTAGATCTGGAATGAGCAACACTTAAATCATTTGGAATTATACGAATATGCTTAGAGCAATGAAAGTGAAAAAAACCTATATCCGCATATGTTCGTCACAAATTGTGATGATTTGTAGGAGCAAGATTTTGGATCTTGGAAACAAAACGCCAGTACCAGGCTGGTCAAAATGAACGTATACAATGTACATTTTTTTTCCTAGCCTCCGCAATGGTGTTCCCAGCACACGTCATTTCTATACGCTGCTGGTCACGTATGCAAACACGTCATCGCTGAAGTGTTTTGTAATTGGTGCATTGTTTTTTTACCCACCTTGTTGGCGATAAAATTACTTTTGATTGGTCCTTTTTCACCGTCACGCGCTGTGTTACAAGCTGCTGAACTGTAAAACTTGCACAGTTGCGCTGGACTGGAATCTTGACAGCTGCGCAATTGGTGCAACTGCCAACTTGCGCAGCTGCTGCATCTGCCAGCAGCGCGGCTGATGCAAACACCTGCGCGCAATTGCGCCAGCTGCCTCTAGCGCACCTGGGACCTCCAGCGCTTTGCAAGCGCAAATCTCCTTCCCGCAACAGCACAAGCCACCCAGCAGAAGCTGCAGCCAGCGCGACTGCGCTTGCCAACCTACTCTGCTGACGGGGCAAGTGCAACAGCAGCTGGCGCACCATTTTCCCCCGGCCCCTTTCAGAGCTCCCTACCTTCACTTCCCCGTTCAGTTTTTCACCTTACCTCACTTTTCATCCTCTCCTCCGCGTGACTGGCGTCTCTTTCCTCGCCTCTCCTCACCACGCTCCATGTCGATTAACTTCACAGATTTTGCCCCAAGACACGCTCTTAGTACGTAGTCAACGATTTTTTGTAGCGCTCTTACTCACCTCATCGTCGTTGTTTTTTAATTGATGCAGAACTGATCAATGGGGGAAAGTTGGGCAACACGTCTGTCGCGACTGTTGTTTATCTGCTCTTTTTCTTATACTTTGTTTCCTTCATTATCAAACAGTCGACTAATTATTTGTCGTTTGCTGGGTTCGCAGGCCATCATTTCAAGTTGTACCCGAGATAAGTAGTTACTGGTGACGCCATTTCACGCATCGGTACGTTTTTCCGTAATAGTTCTTCAGTTACCTTTCTTACGACTAATGTGAGCAAGTATCGTGATATTTTCCGTGCTTTCGTTCTGCCTCACCTACGACCGCTACCATGGCGTTCTGTTCTGCAGCAGCAGCAGCAGCAGCAGCAATGTCTGCAGGTTATTCCGTGTACCTTTTTGGTGCTTGTTTTTCTGTTCTTACTGAACTTGTTTTGTGCTATTATTGAGGAGCCATAAATTGTTTTATTGTATTTGCTGATATATTTGTAAATGTTTCTGAATAATACTGTGAGCATCATTGGCACTAGCTTAGTGCCTTATACACTTGAAGTACAATGCCTAATTTAAAAACGTGAAAATAATGCCTAATTTAACAATGTAATTCCTAATTTACACCAGAAGTACACTGCAGTATTATCTATATTTTGTGTGACTGTTGTGAAGAAATGAGGAATGAATGAACTAGGAAATGAGTTGGGTACAAATATGCAACCCTAGAATGCTGTACCCCATACTGTCTACCCCACCACAGCCTAGAAAGACTATAGCATATAAGTCTGACACACCCCCATAGGCAAAGTGGGGGAGAACAAGGGGTCACAAGACCAGTCAAGCAAAACACAGCAAGCTCATGGTGGATCCCAACGTCACCACACATTCTGAGCACAAGCTCAAGGGCCACAAGGCCAGTTCACATGCAGGTATATATATATATATATAGCTAAACATGCAAGTGCAAGTATATATAGGGCAAAGTACAAGCAAGGTCAAGAAGTGAGCAAGTGAGGCAAAGTAGGTACAAGACCTAGCAGAGTACAGAAGCGCTGATGATCACAAGGCGCGAGTGCCTTGGTGAAGATATCAGCAGTGTTGGCCTGAGAGGCCACGTAAGCAAGTCGCAGCTGACCACGCTGCTGCAGCTCACGAGCAAGGAAGTAGCGAAGAGCAATGTGCTTCGTTCTGTGCTCCAGTCTGTGCTCACGACACAAGGCCAGCATGGCCTTGTTGTCTACGTACAGAACTGGAGGAGAACGAGGCGGCTCTCCGAGGTCGGTCAGCAGGTAGGTGAGCCAGCGTAACTCCTGTGCAGCCATGGCCCCTGCGTAGATCTCAGCCTCACAGCTGGAGCTGAGAACAGAAGACGAGCGGGTAGACCGCCACGAAACAGAACCGGAGCCAAGGCTGAAGGTGTAACCCTGTGACGACCGCTGCGTAGCCAAGTCGTCAACCCAAGACGCGTCTGCGTGACCAGTGAGGACCACTGGACTCCGCCCTCCAAGCACTAGCCCCATGCCCGACGTACTGCACAAGTAGCGCAACACCCTCTTCGCTGCAGCCATGTGCTCAGGGAGGTGTCTCCCAGGAGCAACATAGCGTGCCAAAATGCTAAGAGGGTATGCAAGGTCAGGTCGTGTGCAGGTCATCAGGTACATGAGGCAGCCAACAAGCTCTGGGTACGGGCCACTCGGCTCTACGGACTCATCCGAAGGCAGAGCTGAGAGCGAGTGGCGAGTAGACAGAGGAGTGGCCTGTGGCGAGGAGTACGTGAAGCCGAAGCGCTGAAGGACCTGCTGCACCATGTGTGACTGAGTCAGGGTAATGGTGCGCTGTGCTCTGTCCCGGGTGATCTGCAAGCCAAGGTAGCTGCGCACTTCACCCAGGTCTGTGCACGTGTGTCTCTTCTGCAGCTCGGACTTCACGTGGGCGGGTCCAGCAGTGTCAGCTGTGGCAAAGACCAAGTCGTCGACGTACACGAGGATGTAGAAAGGCGGCAAAGAGGTGTCGGTGCGCAGAAACAGCGACGGGTCGGCAGTAGAGGGAGCAAACCCAAGAGCCGCAAGTGTAGTCCTCAGTGTGTCGTGCCACTCACGAGGCGCCTGGCGGAGACCGTAGACTGGCCGCCGGAGGCTCCACTGGGTGCCAGGAGGAAAAGACCCAGTGAAGCCAGGTGGGCGGCGCAGCCAGATCTCCTCGTGCAAGCTGCCCTGTAGGAAAGCAGTGCTGAAGTCAAGAGAGTGAAGCTCGTAGTCGCGCTGAGCGGCTATGTGCAGCAGAACCCGAAGAGTGGTCATCTTCGGGGTGGGAGAGAAGGTCTGAAAGTAGTCAACTCCCTGCCGCTGACTGAAGCCTCGAGCCACGTAACGAGCCTTGAAGACAGGCGGAGAACCGGGCGGCCGCTTCACCCTGAAAATCCACATGCCACTGACGATGTTCGCCCCAGGTGGGGGAACCTCGTCAACGTAGGTGCCTGTGGACTTCCAGGAAGCCATCTCTGCGTCCATGGCTGCCTGCCACTGAGAGGAGTAGGGACCCTCTATCGCCTCCGCGTAAGAGCGCGGAGTCGGGATGTCAAGTGCATCCGGGTCTCCCTCAGGGGCAAGCAGCATGGACACGAGATGAGGTGAAGCAGCAGCAAAGCACTGGAACTCCTCCTGCCTGTCCTCAAGGACGTCCGTGCCAAGGGCACACTCACCCCCGACGGACGGAAGACAGACAGACTCAGGCTCAGCGACAAGACTAGCAGCGTAGTCTAGACGACAGCGAGCAGCGAAGTCGACAAGCTCAGCAACTAAGGCAGACGCAGCAGTGGACTCAAAGGAAGGGTCACTGACGACAGTAGCAAGGAGACGCGTGACAGTAGGACTGGCAGCACGAAGGGAGTCCGACTCTGGGTCAGGAAGAGCAGGAAGAGAGGACTCAGGAGGAGAAGGCAAAGGGGCACGCAGTGGAGCAGTGGAAGGACGCAGAGACATCCGGTGCGTGCCGGGGACAGGGGGAGGACGCTGACGCGAACCACGACCACTAGTGCGAGAAGCACGGACAGGCGACGCAGGACGAGACGCAGGCTCACGACGCTCAGCAAGACCTCCAGTAGGACCAGTGTAGGGAGAAGGAGCAGACAGTGGGGAGGCAGGCTGCAACTGTGACTCAGACTGGACAGGCGGCGGACACTCTAAGAGAGGAGCAGGACGAAGAACCTGCTCAAGGAGCGGAACGAAGTACGGCCGCGGCCGTGCAGCGCCCCCAGAACCAGCAGGAACAGCACCAGCACCCCCAACGGCAGCACCAGCACCAGTAGTACCCCCAGCTCCAGCAGCGCCAACTCCAGCACCTCCAGCACCCTCAGAAGCCCCAGCGCGAGAAGCACCCCCAGCGCCAACACCCCCAGTAGCTCCAGCTCCAGCCGGACCACCAGAAGACGCAGCAGCTCCAGCTCCAGCAGTACCAGCAGCACCACCAGCAGCACCCACGCCGACAGCACCACCAGCTCCAGCTCCAGCAGCACCAGCAGGCCCAGCAGCTCCAGGACCCGCAGGACGAGCACCTCCAAGACCCGCGGCACCAGCCCCCTCAGCAGTAGTAGAACCTCCAGCACCAGCAGTACCTGCAGCTCCAGCAGCATGGCTCCAGCGCCGAGCAAACCACTCGCGCAGCTCCTGTGGAGAGAGGAGCTCCCGCCGAGACGAAGCACCCGAAGGACCTCCAGGCTCAGTCCCGCTAGACGCCACACGAGCAGGCTCAGTACCCCCAGGCTCCGCACCCCCAGGCTCAGCACCCCCCGGCTCAGCACCCCCAGTCTCAGCACCCCCAGAGTCAGCACCCCCAGAGTCAGCACCCCCAGACCCCGCACCCGCAGGCTCAGCACCCCTAGCAGCACCAGAGTCGACAGCTACCTCGACAGGCTCGACCGCGTCTACCTGGGACACACCTGAGGGGGCAAGACCCTGAGGGGGGAGGGGGTCTACCGGGGGGGGACCTGGCGCGAGGAAGAGCGGCGGCGGGGGGAGGGACGCAGTGCGGTAGGGGAAGAGACGGTAGTAGGGAACCGACTCGTCAAACGTGACGTCCTGAGAGGACAGAACACGGCGCGAGGTAGGGTGGTAAAACTGCCAACCTGGCGCGTCAGGGGGGAAGCCAAGGAAGACGCAGGGAACAGCACGGGGGGACAGCTTGTCCGCAGACAAGTCGCGGACAAACGCCCTAGATCCCCAGACACGGAACGCAGACGCATCGCCAACCTTCCCCGTCCATCGCAGAGCAGGGGAGATCTCCGGCATGGAGACCCGGGGCTGAAGGTTGATCTGATGCGCAGCGTACTGAACCGCGAACGGCCACAGAAAATGGGGGGCAGCCGCATGGATCATGGACGTACGAGCGACGTCCATGACCATGCCAATGCGGGGCTCAGCAATCCCATTTTGCTGTGGAGAGGCCGGAAGCGTGAACGTCTGGCGGATGCCTCGTGCACGACAGAAGGCTCGCAGAAGGTCAGAGGAGAACTCTCCACCTCTGTCGGAGTGCAGACGAAGAACAGGAAAGTCCGAGCCGAAACTATCTCTGAGCTGGAGACGAGCAGCGCGGATCCAGTCGATCAACACCCCAGTGACCTCACCCTTGCTGCGCAAGGGGAAGACTGTGGTGTAACGCGAGTAGTCGTCAACCACCAGCAGGAAGTAGCGCTCGTGACCCTGTCCACGGACTCGGGCTGGACCCCACACGTCCATGTGAAGCGTCTGCAGCGGAGCCTCTGTCGGAGGAAACTCGGAGGAGTGAGGAGCAGCGCGCTGCCGCCCCTCGACGCAGGGAACGCAGGTAGGGGCAGGCCCCGGAGGAAGAGGAGGGAGGGACCGGGGGAGACCAGAGACAAGGACACGGGAGGCCATGCCTCGGAGACGAGGCAGGGAGGGGTGACCAAGGCGGTGGTGCCAGAGGAGAGTCTGATGAGACAGGAGACGACACGAGCAGGGGGCAGACTCAGGACCAGACCTGGACGCCGCAGGAGACACCTGACCCGACACAGCTACCTGACCAGACGCAGCAACCTGAGGAGCACCAGTAGTCAGTGTGTACAGGCTCGACCCCGGCCGACGGGTAAACGTGGCCAAGTGTCGGCCCGTCCGAGCACACGTGCAGTGGGTCACTCGCTGACTCGCAGGAGTGAACTGGTGAACCCCCCCATCCTGTAGATCAGCACCACTCACCAAGTTCGTAGAGAACGAGGGGAGGTAAAGACCTGACAGGGTGCCAGAGGGGGGCCGCCGGACACGGTAAGACAGTGGAGAAGTGGGCAAGGACAGGACCCCCAGAGGGGTCTGCCAGGGAGACCGCAACTGGCCGACTAAGCGGCGTGAGTGTGGTGCGGTCTCGAAAGAAGGAGCGGGAAGCACCCGAGTCAAGGGTGAAGGTGTGAGAGGCCTGAGCCGACGTGGTACCTGAGAGAGCAGACTCACCAGCACCTGGAGCAGCAGACTCACTAGCACCAAGAGCAGCAGCCTCACCAGCACCTAGAGCAGCAGCCTCACCAGCACCTAGAGCAGCAGTCCCAATGCCCAGGTCAGGCGGAACACACAGGTAACAGTCACCCTCATCACTAGTAGAAACAGCATACATGGCAGCAAGGATAGCATCAAAATCCATATCAAAGATAGCAACCCCCGCCCTAGACAGCTCTCCCCAGCGAGGGATCTCAGTGGCGTCAGGGAACTGGTGACGCCAAGCGTCCGTCAGGCGGCCGAAGCAGCGCTGGGTGGAGTGCGCGCCCCCGCACTGCTCACCAGTGCGGTCGCCGGTGCGAAGGACGTAGGTACAGGGACCAGTACCCCCACCCCGCTGACGCGCAGCGTACCACTCACGAAGCTGCTGGGGGGTCGGGGTCTCACGAGTGCGCTGCTGCTGCTGACGCTGACCACCACCGGAGCCACCCCTCTGCGCAGAGCCGCGACCAGCTCCACCGCTGCCGCCACCACCTCCGCCGCCTCCGCTGCCTCCGCCTCCTCCGCTCCCACCGCCACCACCGCCGCCTCCTCCGCCTCCACTGCCGCCACCGACGCCCCCACCCCCGCCACCACTCCCACCACCACCCCCACCCCCTCCACCGCCTCCACCGCCACCTCCACCGCCCCCGCCAGCTCCTCCAGCGCCCTTGCCCCCCTTGCCCTTGCCGGTGCGGCGTCTCCCGCTAGGGGCAGACGCAGCTCCGACCGACTCGAGGCCAACGAGGTCGGCCGCAGCAGCAGAGGCAACAGAGGGCAAGAGGGGGGAGGGGGAACTCCCCTCAAAGACGGGGGTGCGAGGGTCACCACGAGAGGCTCCTACAGCGACTATACTCTGCTCTGCTGCCAGGAGGCGCTCCTCGAGGAGGTCAACGGTGAGTGTGGTGGGGCAAACTGAGAGGAAGTGGTCCCTGACTAAGCGAAGGGAGTCAGGGAGCCGGGTGACTATGTAGTAGAGGGTGATGTACATGGGGGGGGGGGGTTCTTGGCGCAGAACTCAGCAGGAAGCGCAGCGCGGTAGCGAGTGTCACTAGTGCGAAGGTGCGTAATGAGGTCAGCGACTGTGGGAAAGGCAGCGAGGTCAGGGAACAGGTACGGCAGTATGAGGCGGCTAAGAGCAGCAGTGGCAGGGGAAGAGTAGCGTGCAACTACAGCGTCGTACAAGGTCTTAGCACTCTTGTACTGACTAAAGTGCGCACGCTCAGCGGTCGGTAAGTGGCGACGCACAGCAAGACGGGCAGCAGCATCGCGTGTGGCCCACTGTGAGGGAACAGTGGTGTCAGCATCAGCAGGCGGGGCAGGAGAGGCACCAGACGTGAGATCGAAAAGGGAGAGACCGTCTGCCCTATCGCACTGTAGGAAAAGCTGCAAGTCATCGACCCAGACCTCAAAGTCAACAGCCCGACCCTCAGCATCAAAGGTAAGGACACTGGGGGTAGCCATGACAGCAGCAGTCTAGTGGTGAGAGCGGCAGGCTAGAGGTAGTGCAGTGGCAGAGACGCTGCTCGGGAAAGCTCTCACCAGTCCGGGTGGGGAGGGCCGGGGCGCGCCGGCAGGAACAGGGCCGCAGCTGCGGCGGCGGCGGCTCGGCGGCTCAGCAGCGGCTCGGCGGCTCGGCGGCAGCTCGGCGGCTCGGCGGCGGCTCGGCGGCGGCTCGGCGGCTCGGCGGTGGCTCGGCGGCGGCTCGGCGGCTCGGCGGCGGCTCGGCGGCTCGGCGGCTCGGCTGCAGCGGCGGCGGCTCAGCGACGGCGGCGGCAGGGCCGGGGAGGGGCCGCACAGAGCGGCGAAGGGGCGGCTGTAGGGCGGCGACGGGGCAGCAAGAGGGCGGCGGTGGGGTCGCTGGAGGGCGGCGACGGGGCCGCTGAAGGGCGGCGATGGGGCCGCTGGAGGGCGGCGGCGGGGCCGCTGGAGGGCTGCGACGGGGCCGCGGTAGGGCGGCGACGGGGCCGCTGAAGGGCGGCGGCGGGGCCGCTAGAGGGCGGCGACGGGGCCGCGGTAGGGCGGCGACGGGGCCGCTGAAGGGCGGCGGCGGGGCCGCTAGAGGGCGGAGACGGGGCCGCGGTAGGGCGGCGACGGGGCCACTGAAGGGCGGCGGCGGGGCCGCTAGAGGGCGGCGACGGGGCCGCGGTAGGGCGGCGACGGGGTCGCTGAAGGGCGGCGGAGGGGCCGCTAGAGGGCGGCGACGGGGCCGCGGTAGGGCGGCGACGGGGCCGCTGAAGGGTGGCGGCGGGGCCGCTAGAGGGCGGCGACGGGGCCGTTTGGAGGGCGGCGACGGGGCCGCGAAAGGGCGGCGACGTGGCCGCGAAGGGCGACGGGTGGGCCGCGAAGGCGGCGACGGGGCCGCGAGAGGGTGGCCGGGCCGCAAGGGGCGGCGACGGGGCCGCGAAGGGTGGCGACGGGGCCGTGAGGGGGGGGCCGTGAGAGGGGCCGCTAAGGGCGGCGCAACGGGCCGCTAAGGGGAGGGCGGCCCACAGGGCGCGCCTCGGTCAGGGGCGACTCGATCTCAGGGCAGAAAAAAAAAAAATTAGTGGTGGGCCCAAGGAAAAGTTCCCACTAGGGAACCTGCTCTATACCATGTGAAGAAATGAGGAATGAATGAACTAGGAAATGAGTTGGGTACAAATATGCAACCCTAGAATGCTGTACCCCATACTGTCTACCCCACTACAGCCTAGAAAGACTATAGCATATAAGTTCGACAACTGTAACGAAATGTTAAATGTGGATGACATTAATGAAAATTGTGTTTCTATATGTAAGCAAATACAACTCTACACTTCATAGTGTTCTGATTCTACAGTTAATTTTTATCAGACTTATTGTTGGGGATTTCAATTTCGACCGAAGCGCGACTAGCCTGGAAACTGTCGGATTTCTGAAAGCAAACCATCGGAAATCTGTTGGTACTTGTCCGTCAGAAATCAGACAGAAATCAGTTGGAAAGACCCTCGATCCAGTAGTCTGATTTCTGACGGAACAACTCCAAAGTTTTCCGTCAGATTTCCGAGGGTCTGACAGATTTCCAACCGAACACCCTCAGATTTCGGAACCTGTTTTTTGTGATGTCCTTAGCGGCGCAGCTGCGGCAGCAAGCCATTGTGTCGAGATAACCATCCTGAAGAGAGAACCAGCAGAGCAGATAACACGAACAAGCTGGAAATTAGCAATAGCAGTGCGGGCGCTGGCGGCACGAGACTCAAGTCCGCGTTGAAGTTTTTGAAGAGCGGCCTGGCAAACAACGATGGTCGAGGGTACAGGGAAGATTACCATAGTGACGACGATATCTATAGTCGCCTTTGTTGAGCACGTAGCGCTCGTAGTTCAAGGTCGCAGCCGGGTCACCCGGTTTAGACGTCGTATGATTCCATCCCATGATCCAGTACCCAATTTTGGCAGTACTGCAATTGTAGCATCCACGCGCTGAGGTCGTCGGCCCGTGCGGAAAAATGTCTCTCCAGGTAGAGCCGCACCAGCCGGGCAGCGAGCGCGGCGAGTAGAGTCAGGAGCCAAAATGAGGCGGTGGCGCTGCTGGGGCCACGTGCCATCCATCGTTGCAAGTAAAGAAATGGTGTGGATGCAGGTGTCGGTTTATGGTTTCGCGTCTTGGGTTGAGCCTCGCAGTGGGGGAACGGTCGAAACTCCTAAGGATGACGGCGATGCGGTGTGGTGAAGAGTTTCAGACTCTGAAAGGTGAGCTTTCTGCATGTTGCTAATGAAGCAATTATATATGCTGGCTTTGTGGTGGTTGGTTGTGAAGAACGCAGTGGGAGGAGAGATTCATTCACCACAATGACGATTGCTTGGCGTGGGGGCGCACCGCGCATTTCTCGATTTAGATCGAATCGCTAAACAATTTCGAGCCGACTTTTGACGACTGCCACGCTGTCGATTTTTGGCGCGTCATTTCAACAAGACATGTCGTCGCCCTTGATGACAAACGTCATTGACCTGCGTGTTTAGCCATCTGTCTGCATGTGTCAAGCACTTCGTTGTCGAGAACGTTAGCAGGGCTATTGTAAGTAAAAAGAGAACTAGGGATGCCCTTTGGTGACAACCACCCTGTCCAGTGCCTTTTAAGGAGTATTCGAGCCGACATGCTAACTCTTTAAAATAACAGGACCGAAGGTTTCCCCAACCATAAGTAAGCTCCTAGTCCTCAAACACAGCTACCCCAGAACCTCAACTTGCACTAGCCTCGTTGCTAGAGAATGACAACAGAATACAGGGTTTTCGTTTTTAAATACGCGCAGGGTTTTTCATATCGAGATTAGTCAATGTGTACGGAGCCGAACGAACGGTCCAAGGTCTAGTGGAATTGGAATGAGTGTACACTGATGGGTCTAGTGTTTTGTACTTTGCGGTACAGTATGTAGCACAATCTTCCCTCAGCGCAGGGAAGCAGCAGCGATGTTCCACGCAATTGGCACAGATGAACAACTAGAGGTTCTTGTTCCAAGAACTTGGGGGTACATTTGCGATGACATAACCGATTAATTTAGGTGTCGTGGTTCCGTTCTTGTGATAAGTCAGATCGATCGTCGGAGTGCTAACGAGGTAGTGAAGAGCGCGGTCGAGCTCCGCCATGTGTTCTGCTTCGGGCCTTTTGAGATAGGTGGCGAGTTGACTCGCAGCGTACGATAGGTCCGGACGGCAGGTGACGGCTGCAAAGAGCAGACATCCTAGCTTTCGTTGGTAGTCGCGTATGCCAGCGGGTTTGAGTAGAGCGGAACCTTCCTTGTGATTCCCTGCGGTGTAGCGGTACGGTGGGGAAATGATGACTGGAGTTAGTCCAAAACGCTTGGCGATGGTGTCGGTGTATTTTGCGGCGCTGAGGTAGATCGCATTGTCTTCTTCTTGAATGTTGAGCCCAAGGTATTGCGTCACGGTAGATGAGACCGTGAGCGTGAGGTCTTGTTGCAGCTCCCCTTCGAACCAGGTTGTGATTCCGTCGGTCGAACCGATGTAAAGCAGGTCGTCTACGTAGACGATGAGCAGAATGAAGTCAGTGCCCTTTGTGAGTCGATACATGCCCTGGTTGTGTGGTAGCTGTCGGAATCCGAAGTGAATGAGTCGGGCGTGTAGGTACTGCTGCCACAATCTCGGTGCCTGTTTGATGCCGTACAGGGATTTCAACAGCTGACAGACTTGGTTGGGCTCTTCGTTGGAGCCGTGTGGGAGTTCGACGAAGATTTCGACGTCAACAGGTGCGTAAAGGAATGCATTGGCGACGTCGATTTGCCGCAGCTTCTTCTTCTTCATAGCGGCTATCGCAAGAAGAATTCGAAGTGAGGTGTGCCGGCTGACCGGGGTGAATGTCTTGGTAAAATCGCGTCCGTGCTCCTGGTCGAAACCACGCACGACCCAACGCACCTTAAACTTGTCGATGGTGCCGTTTGCTTTTGTCTTCACACGGAAAACCCATTTTCCGGTGAGTACCGTCTTGTTGCGTGCCACGTTGATGGGAACGACCTTCCAGGTGTTTCGTTCTTTCAGGGCTTTCAGTTCCCTGTCCATGGCTTCATGCCATTTCTCCCTATGCTCCCCCCCCAGAGCCTGCTGAATTGTGGCAGGCTCCTTAGGAATCGCCGTGCCGTGGACCGCGGTGACGAGGCCGAGTATCTGAAGGCCACTCTGTGTGTAGCGGGGGAGTGTTGTGTCCTCGGGATAAGCTGCTTCGTCTCTCGCTTCTGGGTCAGGTATGAAATTTGGCCCTATGCGTTCTGCTTCGTTGGTGTTGACTGTTGCAGGTGTAACGTAACCGTTGTCGGCGAAGTGATAGTAAGTTTCGGCGTTGGCGCTTTTGCGAGGATTTTCGTCATCCATTGGGACGTCGACGGAGCAGTAAGGGAGAGGTCCGGCTTCCACCGAGGCTTCATCCACGTTCTGCTCATCCCAGTCAGCTTCGTCTGCTGCCGAGGCGAAGGCTCGGTCACCATGAAAACCACCTGTGGGGTCTTGGTCTTCTTCCAGGTTGGTAAAGTACGTCAGAAGTGTGAGTCGCTCGTAGAAGATCACATCACGTGCTGCTACTGTTTCCTTTGAGTGGATGTCGAAAATCTTCCACGCATTGTAATTCTTTTCGATGCCCAGGTTTAATCCCCACTGTGCGCGTTGGGAGAATCGGCCGGCTCGTGCAGCAGGGGGTCGGTATTGTACCATGCAGCCGAAAACTCGTAACATTTTTGTGCTGCCCTGTTTTCCTGTCCACAGCAGATGCGGTGCTGCGTTGTTCGGGAGCGATGATGACGAGAGCAAGTTGTGCAGCATGACAGCGTGGTCCATTGCTTCGGGCCATTGGTGGTTGGGAAGCCGCATGCCACGTAAAAGCTTGCGCATGGTGTTCTGGAGAGTCCTGTTTATTCTTTCTGCTACGCCTTGCTGTTGGTGGGCGTAGGGAAGGGAGATGAGCCGCTTGATTCCCCTTTCTGCTAGGTACTGCTTGAACCTCTGTGAGGTGTATTCTCCTCCTCCGTCTGACTGGAAGCTCTTTAGTTTCACTCCCGATTCTCGCTCTGCTACTGGAAGCCAGGCAACAAAGGCTTCGAAGGCCATGTCGCAGCTTGGAAGATTGAGGTGCCAAACGTAGCGAGCGGCGGCGTCGATGAACGTGATGGTGAAGTTGTATGCTCCTTGTCCGGGTTCCCGATTGTACAGGATGTTGCTGTACACTTTCTCGAGTGGTGCGTATGCTGGTGTGCTCGGGTTGTGGTGAGAAACGAACGACCGATGTGGTAAGTCAGCTTTGGGGCAGGTAAAGCATGTTCCGCGAGCTCGTCGAAGTTCGTTCCCGTCGGTTAGAAGCAGCGAGTCTTTGTCGAGCACGCGTGCTCTGATTGTGTTGTTTAACACTGTGTTGCTTGGGTGTCCCATTCGTGCGTGCCAGATATCTTCGGTGACGCGGTGTCCGGGTGAGCGCTGATATGTGTCGGAGTTGGAGTAGAAGCCGTCGGTGAGGTTGGCGCTTCGATGGACTTCTCGTGGAGTCGGATTTAGCTGCTGCACGGGTGTCGGCGGCGAATCGTTGACAAGGGCCGGTGCCGTTGAAGGGCCAGTGATTGGTGTCGATGTTGCTGTTGCTGCTTCCGTTGTCTCTGCTGCTGCTGTTGTTGTTTCTGCTACTGCCGTTGTTGTCCCTGCTGCTGCCGATGTTGTCTCTGCTGCTGCCGATGTTGTCTCTGCTGCTGCCGAGTGTTGTATTGTTGCTAATGCTCTTGTTCGTTCTGCTTCAGGAATGGTGTGTGAATACTAGAATCGGGACTGAAGTCGGGATCAAGATCCGGTGGGTGCGTCCAGGAGGTGAAGGTGACGATTCCGTCGCTGTCAGTGGTGCCTAGATCTGGAACGAAGTCGAGGACGAACACGTTGTTCTTCAGTACGGCCTTGCCGATGTAGAAGCCTCCTCTCCCGTGGTACAGCTTGAACTCCTGTGTTGTGCTGTTTGCTTCGAGGTGGATACCTTTCGCCATCAGCTGACTGACACTTAGTAAGTTGTAGCCGAGTCCCTCCGCAATTAAAACCTTTGACATTTGTAGTATGACGTCTCTCGTGACTGAAGTTGCACTACGCCTTGTCGTCGTGTACGCAGGTTCTGGTTGTTGGCGATGGTGATGACCACTTCGCGTTGAAGTTGATATTCGCGTTGAATGAAGCAACCTGAAGAGCACATATGCTGTCCGTAGCAGCTGTCCAAGAACCAAGTATCTTATCCTGACAGCTCGCTTTGGGCGACAGCTGCGTATGTCGGGTTCGGCTCCAGGGTTTCGCGGCGAGGGGTTCTGTTGTCGAGTTGCTCTTCCGGTGAGTAATGTGGTGGTGATTCAGTGATGCAGGAGTCTGTTAATCTTGCCATGCAGCTGACGATGTTTCTTGCTCCTTGTGCAGATTGTGTCGTTGATGTCGTTGAAGACTGCGGCTGACTTGTAGGGTGCGCTTGCGTGGATGTCACTTGGCTGCTTGAAGGTCGGAGTTGACGTTGCGGCGGAGTTGACTGCTGTCGATTCGGGCAGTGTGTGCGAGGGTGTCCTGAAGTCTTGCAAATATGAAAGAACGGAGGTACGGGCTTTGGTTGACGCCGGTTGTTGTTGTTGTTGTAGCGTCGTTGATTGTAGAATGCGAATTCGAGTACTGATGTTTTCTTCTTGTGCCGCTCCTCTTGCAGGTCCATGTCTTGCTGCTCGGCGTGAATTTCGGTGCAGAGTGCTGCTTTGGAGATTTTCCCGTGAGCTCGTAGTATGGCGCGAGTGGAGCGCCAGTGAGGACCAAGACCGCCAATGACGACTGTGACGAAGGCGTCTTCCGATATTGACCCTCCGCATCGAAGGAGCTTGTCGCGCAATTTGCGGCAACGACTGATATACGCCATCCCTTTTTCGCCCGGTTTCATTTCTACTGTTGTCAGCTGTGCCATTAATCGACTCTGGTTGGCGCTGTCTGATGCTTGATACAGGTTCTTCAGGTGATTGTACGCGAGCTCGGCGGAGTTGCCGTATCCCCGGTAAGACCGAATATTCTGCTGCTGATTCGGAGTGATGTTCCTCAGTAGAATTGTGTATGCCATCATCGACTAATATGTGTAGTGCTGCTTGTCGTACTGTGTCCCGTGTGTTGGATATGGCAGGGACCCGTCGAAGAAGCCAAGAATCTGCGTGCCTTCCATCATCAGCTCGAACTCGAATGACCAGGTAAAGAAGTCCTTCCCGTCGAACGGTCTTGATGTTTGTAGTTTTAAGACGTGGGCAAACTGGGACTGTACTTGGAGTGCATCCAATGTCTTCTCTTGTTCACGTGAAGGCTGCTGGCGTGGCATGAAGCTGACGGAACCGCGCTGGGGTTCGTACGGGGCAAAGGTAGGTTGTTGTTGCTGATTTCCTCGCGCGTAGGATGAACCGTCGAGGCTCATCGGTGTAACGTTGTTGTTGTTGCTGTTGTTTGACTGTGCAGGTGCCCCTTGCTGGTGTTGTTCGTAGAAGGACATGAAGGAGAAAAACTTCTCCATCATGCTTGGATCGAAGCCCGCGGCTTGGTTTGCGGGAGTTTCGGTAGACTCAGTTGCCGGTCTTGTTGCTGTGCCCTCCTCTGTCTGTAGGCCAGAGGCAGGAGGTGGAGTAGGAGTAGTACCGAGAGATCCGTTAGAGGAGCTTCTCTCCTTCTGTGTAGCCATGCCTTCTGATGTTGTGGATGTCTTGATAATGGAATTTGTCCTCACTGCTCTCATACCATGTTGGGCTGAGGAAGCCCTTAGGATCTTTGCAGGACTAAACTCTGAGTAGGAACAATGTAATAGCGGAAGCGTTTAATGATAAGTCTGTGAACCACCTTGCGCTGGTATGTGAGGGCAAAGTAGATTAATTAAAACAGAAAGATACAAGGTTTTATAAGAGTACAAGGAATACAAGGAGAATAATAACCGTTTTACTGTTGCTGTTGCGGTTCGATACAGTGACGACTCGGGCAACTGCTCAATAACGAGTCAGTTGTTTGCCTTGCTGTCGCGCTGTATTTTTCAGGTCAAAGGTCGCTGACCTTTGACTTTCGCGTAACTTCCAGCAGTTGTTCAACCCCCGAGGGTTGACTCGCCGATGCTTCACTGTACTTCACTTCGTTTACAGCTTAGTGTTTCAACACATCAGAGGCGCTTTAAATTACTTGTTTACAACAGGTGTGACTACAGGGGGGAGTGGGGATGAGGGGGGCGTATTACGAGAGATGATTGGGTGCGGAGAATGAGGGATAAGTGTACTGTTACTAACCCGAATTGCTGTTTCAATCAACAGCAACTTAAGTTCACTTGTTTGTACGGAGTTGATTATTGCATCTTGGTTTTGTGTTGTTGCTCATATACGGTTTTGTCACATGGTATCACTGCTAATGTTGGTTATAACTGATAGCAAAGATACACTCAACACTTTTATACCAGACATTGAAGAAGCATTGCATTGCAAGAAAAAACCATGGTCCTTCCTAAGCTGCTGCTATTAACGCACTCCTCATGCCAACGAGGGAGGGAACCCACCTAGTGCTCTGCTCATATCTAACAAACACGGCTTCTCTACACTCGTCACCACACTCATCATCTCAAGTGTTGATGTTCGTTGTCGCATCTTCTCTCCTGCTCCATGTGTTAGCGAACGAGCAAATCGGCGCAGCAATCCGCGAGGTGAGATAGTCCTGCACGCGCCCATCCAGCAGCCCCGCACACATCATCACCAGGCCTGTCGAAGTTTCTGGGGCTCGTACTTGCGCTCCCCAGCTCCTCTGCATCTGACCCTTGGTTGGGTGTAGGTGTGCGTTTTGGCGCCCTTAACGGTCACGGGCGCACCCCAAAGTGAAAACTTGAAATCCGGGCATATTTGAAGTTTGCACTTACACTGTATTTTACTGTGATACGTGCAGTTTTCAACTTATATTAGATGTCAGTCATACCTAATACTACACATGTCTTCAATAGTCATAAAACCTACCTTGCCTGCAATGTTCTACACCTCTGTAATGTCGACCTGAAAGCAAACAGAGCGCGAAAAAATTAGAGCAAAGCACACAAGTCAAGAAGCGACAAGGCCATGCTCACCTGCACCTTACCGTCTGCTTCTGGAAGGACAGATTGAGTCCGTTGAGCAGCGCCAGCACGTCAGCCAGGAGATACAGCATGTAGTGGAACTTGAAGCTGGTAGCGAGTTTCTCCGTCTCGCCCTTCTCCTTCGTCCACATCCACATCAGCACCGGCAGCACGTCACAGAAGCGACTCACAGCATCCCCGCGAGACAACCAACGGACGGTGCAGAAGCCTTGCACCTCCAGGTGCGTCTGCAGAATGACGTTCTGGAGATGCATGTAGGTCTTGTGATCGGTCGATGAACGCCCGAGACGCTCTGCAGTCTGGCGTATCATCTGATCTACGACGTTGAACTCCTTGAAGCTCTTCGCGGCATCCTTGGCAGCCAATGCCTCGCTGCACAAGCACGAGACGTGCGTGAGTATGGTTGGGGAGGGGACAGGTGTACAATACGATCGGAAGCAGTGCAGTGCAACCTTACCGATGCGCCACGCAGTGAATCGCCACCAGCCACGGGCAACGTTTCCGAAGCATGGCGACAACGCCGTTCTTCGCGCCAGTCATCACGGATGCACCATCCGTTGACACCCCGAGAAGCTTGTCCAGCGACATGTCCTTCGACCACAAACACTTCACGATCGTGTCGTGCAGTGCTGCGGCGTCGCAACGCTCGAGCGACAGGAGAGCAAGAAACTGGGACACCACGGCCTCGCCTCTCTCAAACGTGACATACACGATGAGATGCTTTCCACGCGCGCGATCTGTGGATTCATCGAAGGAGAGGCTGTACCAGGCCGACTCTTTGATGTCCTCGAGCTGCTTGGCCACCAGATGCTCTGCCATAGCCTCTACGAACTGCCGAAGGCGTATCTGCAATGAGCACCGAATGAAAATGTGAGTAAGTTATCCACAATAGAACAGCAGAAGAAGTAGAACAAAGCAGAAGCATACGAACAGAAGCAAAAGCAGGAAATCAGGAGCAGAAACAGAGGCTAACAAGCACGTACCGCGAGTAATAACGACCGTACGATTCGTCGGTCATCATGTCGGGGCATCCTTGCTCCGCCATGAACCGCACCAGCATGGGGTAGAGCGCGATAGGTGCATCGTTCCGCGCAATCCAGTGAGCTCCTTGCATGCATTTGACGACCCTCGCCATGACAGGATCGCTGCTGAGCATATTCAAGAGGCTGCGCTGCCTCACCTCCGCGCCTTCAGAGAGTCGTTCAGCTTCCATGGCCGCGAGGTGCACCTTGGACTGGTCATGGTTGCGGCACGCCGACTTCTGAAAATCCCTTGCACTGACTCCAGCACCGCCAAAGGGAGACTTGGTGTTAGGAGCAAACTTACAGCAGACGGAACACTTCATACCATACTGGCGCTCATGTTTGTTGTACTTCAAGCTCAGCCACGAGTACGTCTGCTTCCACGACGTGCTAAAGCGACGTGCAAGACTCCTCTCGGCCTCAGGGATCTCGGTGTCCGGGGGTACTTCTGCATCCTCTGCGATCGCGTTGTCTTGCGCCTCCAACTCCTCAGCAGTGGGTGGTGGCGGTACGCATCGTGCGCGCTTTCGCGTGTCTGGTGGCGGACTAGCGAAGCTTAGGTGAACCTGACGATAACGGGCTGCAGACCTCGGGGTAGACTGTGACGATGAGGCTTGCTGGGCGAGGCGCGGGTCCAAGACTGAGATTGCTACGTCTAGCATGTCTTCAGCATCCGTGGCTACGTAGGGCTCGGTCTCGGTTGTAGTATGAGAATAAGAGAAGTTCCTCGTGGGCAAAACTGGAGGAGGGGTTTCACCCTCACTATGGTCCATGGTGGGAGATTGTGGCTGACGAAGGGAACGGGTTAGCTAGCCAATATATAAACCTCGCGTGTGTGAGCGAGGCGGCGCGAGCTTTACTCGGCAGAGTTGGTGGGTGGAGGAGAAGTGCCATAGCACGACACGAACAAAGGTGGAGAGCAGAGAGCTTGGGTGGGCGGTACCGTGGAGGTGGTCAGACAGTGGAGAAGAGAAAACATGGCACGAACAAAAGAGGAGAGGAGTGGGAGGTTGGGTGGGTGGGTGGTGGTGGTGTATGGAATGCATGGTGGTGGAGAGGAATCGTGGCACGCACGAACGAAGGTGGTGAGAGAGCTCCTACGCTGGAGTGCTTCACTTCCTTTGACATGTTTTGGAGTTCTCTGTGGCCGATAAACTTAGCCAGATTCACCCAACCTAATCCTATGTGTCACAGCTGTAAACTGCGGCCAGCTCGTATTGGACGCTAAGGGAATGTTCGGGTGCTCCAAGGCTGACTGAGACACACTACACACACACGAGATTGGCTAGAAAACGGCGTCGTTATAGTAGATGATGAAAAGTGAGGGTCGTGTCGCGGTTGTGTCATACGGCCTTCGAAAACAATAAATAAACATATCAAATATGCTTAATAAGCTTAGTAATAGTACGATAGCACGCTAACGTCATCATGCTTACGTCAGCTTGCTCAGTCGCCAGAATTGGCAGCCTACTTTCGCGGCGCAGCTGCGGCAACAATCAGATTCGGAATTCGTGGTCTGCAGGAGGGCAAACGGCAGGAGAGGGTAGATTGGAAAGCATAAAACAAAGTAGCATCATGCGGCACGGGCGAAATGGAGATCAAGAATGCAGACCAACATCATGCAAGTAGATCGACTGGAAGTCACGGCGCGGCGGCGGCGGCGGCACAAGAGTAAAGTCCGGGTTACATTTTTGAACAGCGTTCTGCGAAGAAAGCGATGTTTGAGGGCGGGAGAGGATTACAGTAGTGCCGAGATTGGACGGCGTGGTCGAGTCGAACACGTAGCGCTCGAAGTTGTACGTCGCAGTCGTCGGGTAAGTCGGCCCCGACGCCGTCAAGTCATTCGAGGCCGCGATGTAGTACCCCATTTTGAGATTAGCGCAATCGTAACATCCGCGCACTGTGGTTATCGGTCCGTGCGGAGCGCTTTCTTGAGGGCTAGCCGCAAGAACCGGGGCGGCGAGCGCGGCGATGAGGATCAGCAGCAAAACTACTGTCGCGGCGGTGACGCCATGAACATCAGTCATCGTTGCGAGCAAAGAAATGGTGGCGGATGCAGGAATCGGATCTCACTTTCGCAGCTTCACGTTGAGCCTCGCGGTTGGATGGACAGGTGCAAGCCGGCGATGCGGGGACAGGTGGTGTGACGGGTTTCGAAGAAGCAAGTACTACTTCTTCAAGGAGTTCTAGTACTACAATTGATGAGTAAGAATTGACTAGCGTTTGATTTTGTAGTGGCTGGTGTGGTGGTGAGGTGAGGGGGAAGGGGGGTGGGGGGTTGGCTGGCGTACGGAGCAGAGTTGTCCAGGTTGACAGTGCTTGGCGTGGGCGCACCGCACATTTCTCGATTCAAATCGAATCGCGCTAAAATTTGAAGGCCGACTTTCGACGACTATCTCGCCGTAATCAAATTGAGGCCACGTCACCTCGGCTGGATGCGTCGTTGCCTTTGATGACAAATGTCAAGTGAAGTCCTCGGCGGTGCTAGTCAAGGGATTGACGAAACCCATCTAATATATTTTGCCATGTCAGCATGCTGTCAAGCAGGTTTCCCCAGCGGAATCGCTGAAGAACCTCAAGCTCGACGGGGCTGGGGGTGGGGTGGGGTGGGTAGGGGCAGATGAACGGTTTGTGCTGTACTGTATTCCATTCATTTTTTAGTGGTCATACGGGGATCCACTTGAATGCGAGATATTTCTTCGGGATCCATTTGCGGTTCCCCCCATCCTGCTTGAGGGCGTTGAACGTTTCTTTCCACTGCTTGAGGCTTCTGTATGCCTTCGAATGAGAGTCAAAAACGATGAATGATAAACCACAAGAAGCCCGAAAATTCTTTCATTTCACTTGTTCATCCGCCAAAACCCAGCTCATTGCGCTATTTGGTTCGTACGGGCAAATAACTGTACAGTAGTAAACTGGGGCCTATTGTCACGCTCTGTACAAGACGTAATGAGCAGTCCCAGAAAACGGCGAAAGTCAGTCAGGATGGGGCAGCCAGTCTGATCAAAGTCCCCGCGCAAGTGGAGCGTGTACGTGTACTGGCAGATATGCCGTACGGTTTGTACGTGTAGCACAAGATTCCTTTCCTTTCAGGAAAGCAGGAGTGGCAGTTCACGCAGTTGACTTGGCAGTGGCACGGACGGAGCTCTCTGGTTTCTGCTCCTGGATTAATGAACTTCCGGGTACGTTCGGGATGTCCCAGGAAGTCCCCTGACGATCACACACCTGCCGTTCAAACGAAGCAAAATCTGCCTGTAGTAGGAAGATGTTCAGCGTTGGAATGCCCAAGAGTTGGGAATGCCAGTGTGTTGTGTGGTGTGGGCGGCATGAACATCAAGGTTTGGAGCCAGCCTATGAGGGAGTGCGTTTTGCATCTAGATCAACACTAAAACATAGAAACGAAGAAGTTGCAGTTGTCTTGCATCATACTGTATCTCTAATTCCTATTTATACTGTTGCCTATATGAGGGTCAATTTGTCGCAATGCCTTGTACACTCCTACTCCTGCTGAAACTGCAAGGTTCAAAGAGCGGACATATATTTCGTCTATAGGAATGCGAGCAATCCCTCCCGCATGGTCCCCAACCGAACACTCTGTAATGGCCTCTGGTGGTAGGCCAAACGTTTCAGCTCCAAACAACAGCCAATCACCTGGTTGATATTGAATATCCTGCAGAAGAAGACGCAAAGCAGACTTATTTATGGAGTGCGGGGAAAGGAGACATCAAGAGGAAGAAGATTGAGTGTGGAATATGGTGGAGCTCTTATGCATCAAGTCGTGTTTCGAGTCGACTCAAAACACGACATCAAGAGGAAGATGATATAGTGTGGAATATGGTGCTGCTCTTATGCATCAAGCGTAGATGGTAGCTTTCCCCTGCAACCTTCCACTCTCCCACCCGACCCTCCCTTCCTCCACCTCCTCCCTTTCCGTACCCCCTTCCCTTTCTCTCCCATCACCCGTATCCCTCCCAACCACCCTTGTTAACCACAACTCACATGGTGGGGCACTGAGCCTCGCTTGGAAAACGCAATCAGCCGCTTGGGCTCCGGCTGTGGGCAGAGAATGGGAGGGCGGAAGACAGGGACCAGGGTGGCGGGAAGGGGGTGGCAGGTTACAGGGAAGAGTTGGAAAAACTGTAAGGTTGATGACATGGTTTAAGGATTGTTGCAGGAAAGGAGGAAGATACTACTCAGTTGGAGACTCGGAGTGGATTACCGAAGTACTGAAAATCTTGAGACGTCTCTGAAAATCAGCAGGTTGTAGAGCATACCGAAGTAGCTGTCGTGTGTGCATGCATGGATGGCCCTCACTTGCTGCCTGAAAGACTCCATGAATGCCCCCCACCCCAGCTGTCGTGCACATTTACCACCACGTACCACATACAACCAATAGTCCAGCCCTGCCCTCTTAAGCTGTGAGTCAATCTACAAGTTGACTCCAGAGGCTCACCTGCTGGTTGAAATACTCCATGAACCAGCAGCCCCAGCTGTCATGCACGCTCACCACCACGAGTTGATTTTTGAGTCGACTCAAAAACCACCACACACGGGCAGAGAGGGGAGACAAAACATCACCTGTTGTCAACACATCCATGGGCCCACCTGCTGCCTGAAATACTCCATGAACGCCCCGCAGCTGTCGTGCATGTTCACCACCACACCACGTACGGGCAGAGAGGGGAGAGGAACATGACTTGTCTTCAACACATGCGTGGACTCACCTGCAGCCTGAAATACTCCATGAACACCCTCCAGCTGTCGTGCACGTTCACCACCACGTACGGCCAGTAGTCCAGCCCCGCTCTCTTGAGCTTCGAGTCCGTAATGTCGAATCCCAGAGGCTGCAGGGCAGGGAGAGCATGGGTGAGATGACTCATAATGTGACATCACGTAGGGCCAGTAGTCCAGCCCTGCCCGCTTGAGCTTTGGATCCGTTATGTCAAACCCCAGGGGCTGCAGTGACGGCAGGAAACGGGGAGCAGGGTGATAATAAAAGTGTCTTGAGATTTCTTAAATCAGCTGCATGCACGCTCACCACCACGTGCGGCCAGTAGTCCAGCCCTGCTCGCTTGAGCTTTGAGTCCGTGATACCAAATCCCAGGGGCGGCAGGGCGGGGGGAGGAGGAGCAGGGAGGGGAGCACAAAGAGATGTCATGCATGGTGTGTGCTATAAGGAGTTCACCATCACGTATGGCCAGTAGTCCAGCCCTGCCCACTTGAGCTTCGAGTCCGTTATAACAAATCCTAGAGGCTGGAAGGCAGGGAGAGGACGAGCAGGGCGATAAGGAATTTGTTTTGAGCCGTCTCGAAGAAGCTGCGGGCACGTTCACCACCACGCACCAGCACACCCAACCTTCCCTCTCCCGTTCCCCAACTCAAGCCTCCTCCCACTGCCCCATCCCATGCGAGACATACCTCCACCTTTCCCTCTCCTGTTTCCCCCAACACGCACCCACCTTGACCAGGTGCAGGGGAACGGCCGTGGCAGCACACGTGCGTGCAATGGACCCGGTGTTGCCAGGGATCTGCAGCACACGTTTTGCGGGGAAGGGAAGAGAGGATGTGTGACAATAACGAGTTGCTATGCCTTTACACGGGCATGGAGCACATGTGCGTGCAATGGACCTTGTGTTGCCTGGGATCTGGGAGTGTGTGTGTGAGAGGGGAGAAGGATGGAGCTGAAAATAAGGAGTTGCTGTGCACGCACGAAGGAATGCGGCGCATGTGCGTGCAATGGACCCTGTGTTGCCGGGGATCTGTGTGTGGGGGAAGGGGGAGGAGGGAGTGGGGAGGGGGGAGGGGGAAAGGGGAGGGGATTCAAAGGGATCTAACAATAGTAAGACGTCTTGCATGCACACAACCGTCACGTGAAAAAAGAGTATTTTTGAGACGTCTTGCATGCACACAGTCGTCACGCCACACAATTCAACTCGCAGGAAAAGTGTGTGCAGGCAACGATGCACCTTGTATTGTGCAGAGAACTAAGTGAGGGCGTGGAGGAGGGGAGAGGTGTGAGAGAGGAGTGGGGCGGGGGGGATTGAAAAGCCGGGAATTGTGATCACACGTGGCAGCACTGCAAGCTAATCACACGTGGCAGCACTGCAAGCTAATCACACGTGGCAGCACATGAGCCAATCACCTGAGGGCACACGAGCACCACGTGCAGTGGCTTCTTCACTTGACCCTGCCCCACCTCCCCTCCATCTCCCTCCACCTCCCCTCCTTCCCCCTTAACTCCTCCCCCTCTCTTCTCCTCTTCTCCGCTTCCCTCGCTCTCCAACCCGGCCCCCTTAGAGTCACCCCTGGCTTTAATGTTATTAAAGTCACTTTCGTTAGTATCACTTCCATCCAGCCCGCTTCCCGCTCGTTTCAGGCTCCATCGCTCCTCCTCGGAATTCGCCCCAGCATAAACCCTGAACCCTCGCCGCTCCTCTCTGTCCCCTCTGCTACCCTGAACCCCTCGCCTCTCCTGGTGCTGCCGCTGCTGCTGCTGCCACGTCAGCGGCCCTATCCCCGATGAGCTACGCGAATTGATCGAACCTGAGTCTATATCCCGCCTGGCGCGCAATTCTGCGCGCGAAAAACGAGCGGCTGTGTTCGCACACGGGGAACCCACGCGGTTATTGGCGCGGGGAAGTAGTAATACTGCGCGGGAGTTGCGCGCTAAAGCGGGACAGACGGGCGCAGGAGTTTGCCGCGAGCTGCAAGATTGCGCGGCGCAGGCAGTTAGTAGCGCAACGGAGCGCGGCTGCGCGGCGCATGGGACCCTGGCTCTAATCCAATACATTGCCGAGTGGTAACGGCAGAAGGAGTTTCTCTCCCGCGATTCCCCCGCGCGATCGGCGGAACCTTCAAGTGCAGAAATTCCCGCTGAGAGAACTACTCGGTCGAGTGGCGCGATTTTGGTCTCTCGATGGGCCTACCTGGCCAAGAGCATAACTGGCAGAGGCATGCGTGAATCTCGCCATACGAATAACCGCGATAACAATAAAGTACAGAAAAAAATGCTGCAGAGTAAGCTGCCTTCAACACAGAAACCTGCTTGTCAGAAATCATTACTGTTTTAAGAATAAATCCAAGTGAACTTCAACAATAACCTCTCAATCCTCATAATCATCACCATCTTTGTCATCAGCATCTTTGCCACCTTTATCATCGTCATAGACGTCAGATTCCAGGTCATAGCTGAGTGCAGCGATGACGTGGCGTGTGGTGGGCAATGCCTCGCTGACACGTGGCAAGTGCCAGGGCGCGGGGGCAACCTTGCTGTAAAACCAGGGCGATACCGAGTCGTTGAACTGCTTAAAACGCGGATTTAGGATCGCCTCCCAGTCCACCTGGTTGAAGAGAGGAAGAGGGGGAGGTGAGGGAAGGGGAGAAGATTAGGTGAAGGCATGAGGTGAAGGGAAGGGAGATTGGAGATGGCACAGCAGAGTCTGACACTCGACTTGTCGTACAGCCAGCGGGCACAAAGTCGTTGAACTGCTTAAAACGCGGATTTAATATCGCCTCCCAGTCCACCTGGGTCATGAGAGGAAAAGGGAGTCGGGGGGGCATGAAGTGAGGAACGGGAGAAGTGGGCAGGCGTTAAGGGGGAAGAGGGAGGAACGTGAAAGGGTTAGCCATGCGTTTGCTCCTCCCTACTGATGCACTGCCTCAACTCAACCCAATGACATGAGTGCCCCAACATACTCAGAGCCACTTCTGAGATTCCTCACAAGCACCTGAGAGGGCACCTGAACGTCCTTGGGGATGACGGAGGGCGTTTCCATGCAAGCGGAGAGGGAAGCGTGGGGAGCAGAGAATGGCTATGATCGCCCTGCTAACACCCCAGTTCAGCCCAACTCAGTGCACACCTCAGAATCTTCCAAAGAAGCTCAAAGCAGAACGCACCTGGACATCCTTGGGGATGAGCGAAAGCGTCTCCATGTCAGCGGCCAGGGAGAGGCCGAGAATAGAAATAATGCCGACCATCGCCGACCCGCGGGTGAGCGGCATGAACTGATACCAGTAGTATCCCATCCGCAGCACGCCCTCCCTCACTCGCCGCCGGTACAGGAGCACGTCGGTGGTTTGTGTGTGTGTGTCTGTGGCGGCCTCACTGAGCTCCTCCCATGTCCTCTGCAGCTCCTGAAAGAACTCTGCGCTGCGCTCGGGTGTCACGGCTGTACGAATGGTGAAGTCGTACGAGCCTGGGAGGGAGGAAACACAGGGGGTAGTGATGCAGGTGTGTGTCGGCATAGGTGCCAGCCAGGGTGTGGCGGCTTCACTGAGCTCCTCCCATGTCTTGTGCAGCTCCTGGAGAAATTCAGCACTGCGCTCGGGCGTGACTGCTGTACGAATGGTGAAGTCGTAGGAACCTGGGAGAGGGGGGGGGGGAAGGTGGGAGAGGGCGGGAACACAAGGGGTGGAGGTACAGGAGAGAGGGCAGTGAGGCTGGTGCATGTCGGTGGCCCGTGTGTGCGAGTCGGTGGCTGCTTCACTGAGCTCCTCCCATGTCCGCTGAAGCTCCTGGAAGAACTCTGCACTGCGCTCGGGCGTGACTGCTGTACGAATGGTGAAATCATAGGAGCCTGGGGGGAGTAGGAGAGGGAAAGAGAGGAAGAGGGGTACATGTGAGGCAGTGGCGGCCTCACTGAGCTCCTCCCATGTCCTCTGCAGCTCCTGAAAGAACTCCGCGCTGCGCTCGGGTGTGACGGCTGTACGAATGGTGAAGTCGTACGAGCCTGGTGGGGGAAGGGAGGAGGGGTGGATGAGTGGTTAGGCCATAGGAACTTCGGGTTTACAAGAGGGTGTTAATGAACCAGGCAGAATATACAACAACGGGGGATTCTGGTCTGATCCATGCTTAAGAGTTGGAGGTACAGTGGGCCAGCAGCAGCAGGCAGAACTGGGCGACTCAAATCAAGAGACAGCCTTTGAAGCGCCTCAACAACAGGTGCGCCGAACAATACCTGCCAGGTGAGGGCAATACCTGCCAGGTGAGGGCAATACCTGCCAGGTTAGGGCAATACCTGCCAGGTGAGGGCAATACCTGGCAGGTGAGGGCAATACCTGAGGCCTCCACGAGAGTCAGCTGGGTCCCGTTCATCACTCGCCCGGGAAACGCCTCGCTGTAACACTGAGTGGTAACATAGAAGTTCTCCCCCACCACGCGGTGTAAATCCCCAAAGTCCCCTGCCGCCTCTATCGCCTTCCCGTGCACCCGCCGCGGCACCGGCAGCGGCCAGTTGGTTGCATTCGACGCCATTTCTGTTTCCAGCAGAACGGATCTCATAACTTCAAACGCCCAGTCCTGAAACGGGTAGTATTTCAGGTTATGCATCTGCCCGACCCGCATGGCTGTGATTGTACCGAAGCCCTTGGGGTACTCGTTTTTGAGCTGGTCGATCCATGTGATTGTATCGCAGGGTTCGGCGTGCTGCCTCCACCGTATGATTCCGTCGAACATGTCTCTCCACCCGGAGATCAGCTGTGCACCGTTGGATCGGCCAGATGAGCCGGCGGGCTTATCTCGACCCTTGGATCTCTTCCCTGCTGCGGAGGATTGGAGGGACACTCGGGGTGTTTTCCGTCGGGACCCTCTCTGTGCCCCTCCCCCACTTGCTCTTCTGTCCTTGCTGCTCCTTCCGCTACTGCTCCCCTCACTACTATCACCATCACCATCACTTTCACCATTGATATTCCTGTTGTTCCTGCTATCCCTGTCGTCACCCTCGCTCTCCCTTAGCCTCTCACCCTCCTGCTCCCCATCCCCATCTCTTGGCTTCTGTTCCTCAATCATATGCTGCCACGTGGCATTCACCCTCTGCATCAGATCCAGGGCGGCAAGCCCCGCCATGCGGTGTTGTCTTTTGTGCGGCATGAAGCCGTCCACAAAGTACTGCGTGCGCCGCCCGATTTCGTCCGCCTTGGCAATGAGAGCGCGCACTTGGGGGGAGAAGCGGATGCGAGGGGGGTTGCGAACCAGGCGGATGGGGAGGGGGCGGTAGGCGGGGAGGATGGAGAGGGGCGACTGCTTGCGCACCCATGCTTCCTGGTAGGGAGAAAGGGGAGTGCAGGGGACATGTGGGGAGGGCAAGGGGAGCGGCGGATGGGGAGGGGGCGGTAGGCGGGGAGGATGGAGAGGAGCGACTGCTTGCGCACCCATGCTTCCTGCCAGGGGGGAGGGGGGGCGCAGGGGAGAGGACAGGGGGTTGAGAGGGGACTTAGAGTGTGTATGTCGGGCAATCAGCTTGCACACCTGCGGGTGCAAGGTGGAGATGTGGGGAGGGGAGGGAAAGGGTGGTTGCGCACGAGGCGGATGGGGAGGGGGCGGTAGCCGGGTAGGATGGTTAATGCGTTCGCAAGACAACCAGCGTGCACACTGGGGTTGCAAAGGGAGATGCGATGGGGGTTTCGGTGGAGGCCGATGGGGAGGGGTTGGTAGACAGGGAGGATTGAGAGGGGCAACTGCGCTGCACTGCACCGCACCGCACTGCACCTGCACTGCACTGCAGGAGGGCCACACCTTGAGTTCGTTGAGCTTGTAGTCCAGGCCAAACTGAGAAAAGGGTAGGTCTGGCAGTGCAGTGTGTGATGAGGTCGAAGTGAAATCAATCATTTGTGGGCAGAGAGGCACACCTTGAGTTCATTGTTAAGCTCGTAGCCCAGGCGGGACTGTGCAAATGGAAGGTCCAGCCATGCCCTGTGACAAGGTGCCTTGTGAGTCGACTTGCTACAAAGCTACAGGAACGGGGGCACACCCTGAGTTCATCGTTCAGCTCATCGTCCAGGCGGGACTGTGGACAGGGTATTTCCAGCCATGCACTGTGACGAGGTGCCTTGCCTTGGGAGTCGACTCACTATAACAAGCAGAGAGGCACACCTTGAGTTCGTTGTTGAGCTCATGATCGAGGGGAAAGCCGGCTATGCATTGCGCTGTAACGAGGCGACTTGTAAGTTGAATCAAACATGTATGAGCAGGAGGGGCACACCTTGAGTTCGTAGTCCAGGCGGAACCGTGCAAAAGGTAGACCCAGCCATGCACTGTGACGGGGTGCATTGTGGTTCGACTCGCTACGTAACTACAAGCAGGAGGGGCACACCTTGAGCTCGTTGTTGAGCTCGTAGTCGAGGCGGAACTGAGAAAATGGTAGGTCCAGCTTGGATACCGTGTATGCTGCTATCTCCCTCTGATGGTGATTGCGATAGGAGGGGGAGGGGGACATGAGGAGAACCGTTTAGGAGGGTCCAGCTTGGCTACTGGGTAGCCTGGAATGGAATGTTCCTAGAATGGGCTGTGGTGGCAAACAGTGGCAGCACGGGAAGATCAGAAGGGGAAGAGGGGGAGCAAGTACATAGGAGCAAGATGATGGGGGTGATGGGGGTGATGGGGATGATGGAAATGATGGGGGTGATGGGGGGGGTGATGGGGGTGATGGGGTTGATGGGGGTGATGGGGGTGATGGGGATGATGGGGATGATGGGGGTGATGGGGGTGATGGGGGTGATGGGAGTGATCGGGATGATGGGGGAGATGGGGGTGATGGGGGTGATGGGGATGATGGGGGTGATGGGGGTGATGGGGATGATGGGGATGATGGGGGTGATGGGGGTGATCGGGGTGATGGGAGTGATGGGGGTGATGTTGGTGATGGGGGTGATGGGGGTGATGGGGATGATGGGGATGATGGGGGTGATGGGGGTGATGGGGATGATGGGGGTGATGGGGGTGATGGGGGTGATGGGGGGGGTGATGGGGGTGATGGGGTTGAGCACGAGTGCAAAGACCAGGTCCAGCTTCATGCCAGTTGGCTGACCGCACACCACACAGCACAGCACAAAACCGCACAGCACCCTGCAACACAGCAAGGAACTGCTCAGTACCACTCAACGCAGCACAAAACCGCTCAGTACCACTCAACGCAGCACAAAACCGCTCAGTACCACTCAACGCAGCACAAAACCGCTCAGTACCACTCAACGCAGCACAAAACCGCTCAGTACCACTCAACGCAGCACAAAACCGCTCAGTACCACTCAACGCAGCACAAAACCGCTCAGTACCTGGTAAAATGCCATGCCCTGGAGAGTGCCGGTGTTGCTGTCTGTGGGCGAGAGGCCGAGGATGTGCGTGTACTGATGCAGCTGCAGGTGGAGTGGATGGGGATTAGAGAAAGGGGGTGGAGGGTGGGAGGTGTGAGGGATTGGCACAGCAGCAAACCAAACCACCAGGGAGGGACAGAGGGCGAGGATGCGGGTGTAATGATGCAGCTGCAGAGGAATAGATGCGGAGGGGGACAGAGAAGGGGGGGTGGAGGGTGGGCGGAGTGAGTGTGAGAGTGGCACAGCAGCAAACCACACCACCAGGGAGCGACAGAGGGCGAGGATGTGCGTATACTGATGCAGCTGCGGATGAATAGACAGGGGGCAGAGGAAGGGGGGTGGAGGGTGGAGGAATGGTGGAGTGAATGAGTGAATGGCTAGCCTAGCACAGGAAGAGGGCTTGTGAGCAGAGACTGCAAAAGAAGGAAGAAAATGACGAAGCAAGACAAGTGGAGTGAGAGCCTGAGAGCGCAGGCAGATTGAGGCTTGTGGGTGGAGTGAAAAAATCTTCACTCACCGCTGCCTCAAAGTCACCCAGCGCATGGTGCGCGGAAGCTTCCAGGTAGTTGAGCTCGATGTCGTTGGGATTCAGCTTCAAACCCCTCCTCGCTGTGGTTATCACCTCCCTGGTCGATGGCGGTCAACGGGAGTCAACGGGAGTCAACGGGAGTCAACGGGAGTCAACGGGAGTCAAGGGGAGTCAACGGGAGTCAACGGGAGTCAAGGGGAGTCAAGGGGAGTTGACTGGAGTCAACGGGAGTCGAGCGAAGTGTGAATATTTCAAGTGAATCACGAAAGTTGCTAAAAAGCAGGAGGAGTAAAGGGGAGCCCAACAAGAGTCAACAGGGGTCAACGGGAGTCAGCAGGAGTAGCAGGAACATTAGGAGCTCCCCCCAGCCTCACCTGTGGCGGCCCACCAGCTGCATGAGGGATGTGAGGCGGATGTACGCCTCCAGCGTGCTGCAAGTCACTCACAGTAACTCCAATTCACCATAACTCCCCAAAGACTCACCATAGCCCCCCTTTCACTCACCTGTGGCGGCCCACCAGCTGCATGAGGGATGTGAGGCGGATGTACGCCTCCAGCGTGCTGGATGGGGGATGGGGGGAGGATGGGGGGAGAAAGGAGTGTGATGAGAATGGGGCCATTGGGTGGTGATGGATTGATTGCCTGCAGAGAGCCTTGGGACCAAGGCTGGCAGGGGCAGGATGCTGTGAGAGCATGGGGGAAGAAAGGGTAAGTAGCTGGGTCTAGCCTCTTCCGGAGCATGGGGGATGCCCCTCCTCCTCTCTGCCTTCATCCCCTGCTCTTCCAACCCAATCTCTCCCGCTCTCCCAACCCCCACTCTCTCTCCCAACCCCCACTCTCTCTCCCAACCCCCACTCACTCTTCCAGCGCCAGTGCCTTGTGCAGAGCGACCAAGGCTAGGTCCACCTCCCCCAGCTCCTTGTGCACGCGGCCCTTCTCCGTCCACAGGTGCACCGACATCGGATGGCGTCTCTCTCCCAATCCCCCACCCTCCCCGTCCCCAACTCCCCAACTCACTCTTCCAGAGCCAGGGCCTTATGCAGGGCAGCAAGTGCCAAATCCACCTCCCCCAGTTCCTTGTGCACGCGCCCCTTCTCCGTCCATAGGTGCGCTGACATCAAATGGTGCCTCACTGCCTCTTCTACCAACCCCAACTGTCCTTCTCCTTCACCCGCCACTCACTCCCCAACTCCCCAACTCACTCTTCCAGAGCCAAAGCCTTATGCAGGGCAGCAAGCGCCAAGTCCACCTCCCCCAGCTCCTTGTGCACGCGCCCCTTCTCCGTCCACAGGTGCGCTGACATCGGGTGGCGCCTCACTGCCCCTTTTCCCAACCCCCCATCTCCCTTTTTCCCAGCCCAGCTCGGCCTCTCCCACTCCCCAACTCACTCTTCCAGCGCCAGAGCCTTGTGAAGGGCAGCAAGAGCCAAATCCACCTCCCCCAGCTCCTTGTGCACGCGGCCCTTCTCCGTCCACAGGTGCGCCGACATCGGGTGGCGTTTCACTGCCTCCGCAAACACGGCGCTCGCGTTGCGCCACTGCCCTGCCCCCGCCAGGGCTATGCCCTGTGCGACGGAGGGAGGGAGGGAGGGAGGGAGGGAGGGGAGGAGGGAGGGAGGGAGGGGAGGAGGGAGGGAGAGAGGGGAGGAGGGAGGGAGGGAGGGAGGGAGGGGAGGAGGGAGGGAGGGAGGGAGGGAGGGAGGGAGGGAGGGAGGGAGGGGAGGAGGGAGGGAGGGAGGGGAGGAGGGAGGGAGGGAGGGGAGGAGGGAGGGAGGGAGGGGAGGAGGGAGGGAGGGAGGGAGGGGAGGAGGGAGGGAGGGAGGGAGGGAGGGAGGGAGGGGAGGAGGGAGGGAGGGAGGGGAGGAGGGAGGGAGGGAGGGGAGGAGGGAGGGAGGGAGGGGAGGAGGGAGGGAGGGAGGGGAGGAGGGAGGGAGGGAGGGAGGGGAGGAGGGAGGGAGGGAGGGAGGGAGGGAGGGGAGGAGGGAGGGAGGGAGGGGAGGAGGGAGGGAGGGAGGGGAGGAGGGAGGGAGGGAGGGGAGGAGGGAGGGAGGGAGGGAGGGAGGGGAGGAGGGAGGGAGGGAGGGGAGGAGGGAGGGAGGGAGGGAGGGGAGGAGGGAGGGAGGGAGGGGAGGAGGGAGGGAGGGAGGGGAGGAGGGAGGGAGGGAGGGGAGGAGGGAGGGGAGTAGGGAGGGGAGGAGGGAGGGAGGGAGGGGAGGAGGGAGGCAGGACAATGCAGGTTATTGCAGACCAGGACTCAGGTTATGACAAGTCATTACAAGTCAATGAAGGTCAATGGGTAACGTAGGTGCAGGGGCTCGCACCTTGGCGCGGATGAGGTAGGCATCCATGGGGCGCATGTCCAGCGCCCTGGATAGATCAGTGATGGCCGCTATGACCCAGGTCAATAGAAGTCAAAATAGGTCAACACAATGCAAGAGCAGAAGTTCGCACCTTGGCGCGGATGAGGTAGGCATCCATGGGGCGCATGTCAAGCGCCCTGGAGAGATCAGCGATGGCCATGCCGTACAGGTGTATGTGGAAGGCGATGATGCCTGCTTGGGGCATGGGTAGACGGAGGGGGAAAAGAAGGGTAGCGGCTGGCTGTGGTGGGTCACACAAGTTTAGTTGCATTGCATGGAATTCGTTGCGATTGTCCATGCTGTACGGGTGCAGGTGGAAGGCAATGATGCCCGCATGGGAATGGGTAGATAGAGGGTGGAAGGGAGGGGCTGGTTGTGGGTCACACGGCGCTGGTTGCAAGGGCCGTGCTGAACAACTGCAGGTGAAGGGCAATGATGCCTGCCTGGTGCTGGGTGTGCCATGCCAAGGCATGACATGCCAATTGTGCAGCCTTACACACACCCCTTTGGCCAGCATACAAGTGTTACCTCTGTGCTGCCAGCACATGAGTCTCACCGCGGTGTTGCAGGGCGTCCTGATTTTCCGGCTCGATCTCCAGCGACCGACTCAGGCTTGCCATGCCATGCAAGGGTGCAGCCCCACACCACAAGCTCTCTGTCAGCACACAGGTCTTACCTCAGTGCTGCACCACACCACACCACACCCCCTCGGCCAGCACATGAGTCTCACCGCGGTGCTGCAGGGCGTCCTGGTTGTCAGGCTCGATCTCCAGCGACCGACTCAGGTCATCCACTGCCTGCTGTTGGGTGTGACGTGCCATGCCAAGGGTGCAGCCTCACACACACCCCATTGGCCAGCATACAAGTGTTACCCCTATGCTGCCAGCGCATGTCTCACCGCGGTGTTGCAGCGCGTCCTGGTTGTCGGGTTCGATCTCCAGCGACCGACTCAGATCCTCCACGGCCTGCCATTGGGTGCGGGATAACGGGCAATGGGAAGAGGTGCAAGAAGAGAGATGCATTTTTTAGGACTGCCCCAATATCTGGGCAGACGTTTATGGAGATCGGGCATGAGGATTGTTGTGTTGTGTTGAGGCGCCTTCATCCACATGCAAACATGCACACCCACACACTCACTTACTCCCGCCCGCTCACACACTTACTCGCATGCGCTCACATGAACACTCAACCCCACAGTGCCATTCACGGGAAGACAGAGCAGCTGAGGCACGCACCATCTCGCGCTCGTTCCTCTCAATATGCAGCATGGCCCTTCGCCTGTACAGCTCCGCACTCCTGGGGAAGCGCTGAATGCCCTGTGGTGTGGGGCAGCATGGAGACGGGGATGGGGTGGGGGAAAGTTCAGACGACTCAGAAGTTGCAATACAGGTAGGTTAAACCAGGTAGACCGGGCGGATTGAAGAGTTGGGAATTTGAAAACGAGTTCACCTCTGTGAAGTCGTCTTCTGCCTCATCGAATCGCTTGGCAGAGGCCCCTGCCGACTTTTGAGGCGCCTCAAAAGTCGTCTCATGTCTCGCGGTTTTGAGGCGCCTCAAAAGAAGGAGAATGAGCTCACCTCTGTGAAGTCGTCTTCCGCCTCATCCATCCGCTTGAGCATCAGGTGGCAGAGGCCCCTGCCGATGAACAGCTGGTCCGACAGCTCCCCGCCCTCCGCTTCCACCTGTCGAGAGGGTAGAGAGAGGGGAGGAAGGAAGGAAACCTGTAAGAAGACCATCCCCCTCCGCTTGAGGAACAGATGGCAGAGACCCCTGCCGATGTACAGCTGATCTGACAGCTCGCCGCCCTCTTCTTCCACCTGTGGTGGGAGAGAGGAGGCAGAAGGGAGTAGGGAGAAAGTTGGGAAGCGTGTAAGAAGAGAAGAAGCTTGAGCATCAGGTGGCAGAGGCCCCTGCCGATGTACAGCTGGTCTGACAGCTCGCCGCCCTCCGCCTCCACCTGTGGGTAGATACAGGGGGAGAGAGGAGGGAGGAGGGAGAAGGACGAAGGAAAGACAGGGAAGGTGGAGAGGGTGTGTAAAGGACGACCTCTATTTCAGAGGCGCCTCAAGGGGAGGTTAAAGGAGGACGAGTGGGAGAGGAGACAGAACAGGGTGGAAAGGGATGTGGTAACGGGAGGGGAGGGGGAAGCGAGGTAAACGGCGTAAGGGAGGAATAGGCGAGGGGTTGAGTGCGGTGCGGGGGTTGAGTGAGCCAGCCACAGCAGAAAGAGAGAGTGGAATAGACATGCGAGATGGGGAGGGGTAGACAGACCCCGAGATAAAGCGAGTGAAGGGGACTCAGAGAGCCTGGTGGGGAGTGGAGGGTGAGTGGGGTGGGCTCACGAGGGTGAGTGGGGGGCCGCACCTGGTTGAAGAGGTTGATCGCTTCCTGGAACTTCTTGGCTTGCATCTGAGGGCATGAATAAGATCAAGCCACAATGGGGGAGAGGAGGGACGTATGATGAATTGAGAGTACCGAAAGGATGCATTGTAGTGTGGCATTTTGGCATGCGAATGGCGTACGATGGATGGCATGTGCTGCAATGTAGGGTGGAATATGCGAAGTTTCTTGCTGATTGCAGCACTTACCATGCTGATGGCTGCTCGAATCATCATCTCCTTGTTCACCTGCCCGCCTTGCTTCTCCTTCTCACGCCCCCCTTCCTTCCCCTTCACCCCTTTTCTCTTTTCCCCAACCCCACCACCACCACTCCCCTTCTCATCCCTGCTTTCACTTCCCTTGACTGTCGGCTTCGCCTGCTCCCTCCCTTTCTTCACTCCTTCCCTTCCTTTCAGTCCCCCGTCTCTCTCCTCCACATCCTCGCCCTCCTCCTCCTCTCCCTTGCGCCTCCTGGTCGCTTCATGCCCCTTTTGGTCCCCACTGCCCCCACGTCCCTTCTTCTGCTCCCCCCCATGTCCCCCTCTTTCCGACGCATCTCCTCTCTTTCCCCCCTTCTCAACGGTTGCTTCTGAACCCCCCACCGCTCCTCTGCGCTCCCCCTTGCTCTCCTCCGCAGCTCCCTTTCCCCCACCGCCAGCCAAGCCACTCTTCCCCCCATCCGCGCGCATCAGGGCGCACAGGTCCGCTCCCCCCAGCAGCAGCTTCTCCCCTCGGCCAGAGGAGGGGGAACCACACGCGGGGGGAGGGGGAGCAGAGGGGGACGGCGGAGAAAGGAGTTTGAACAGCTTGGTTCCTGTGGTGGGAAGGGAGGAGTTGGAATGGTGGAGAATGGAGACGAGGAGGAGGAGGAAAAAGATTGAGTTCACAAGGCGGCGCAATGGTTGTAGAATGCCGCAGTGGTGACGAATGAGAGAGAGATGGTGGTGCAATGAGACGTCTAAAATTTGCAAGGGGAAAGACAGTGGGGAACATGGCATGGGGGCAGGTCACAGGTGCACGGGGGGGGGTTAAAGGGGAGGCGGGTAGGGGGGGCGGGGGAGGTATGGTTGATGGGAGGGGAGGGGTGTGGGGTGGGGAGATTGTGAGAGGACTGTTGGCGTACCCTTTTTAATGAGAGGGAGGAGGCAGGTGCGGATGCCCCTGCGTTGGTGATCCTGGCGCTGTGGTGCGGTCCTCTGCTTTGGCACTGATGCAATCAGGTGCATTTCCCAGTCGCATAAACCGGGACTCCTGCACATGACGTGGCATGGCAGGAAATGACGTGGCATGAGTGGGGTGTTGACACCTACGACGACAAGGGGAGTTTCAGAACAAGTGGGAACGAAGCGCAGCGGAAGGATTTCCAGAGCGCAACCGAACCAGGCAGGGACGACTGAAAGCAAAGGAAGTCAGAGTGGAACGCACCAGGTGAGTTCGTTCAGTGAGGGTACCAACCCCTTGGCTGCGCTGATCCTCTCATCGTCGTCGCAGCTGCGCGCCGAGCTCGGCAGCACGAACCCCGCTGCTTCCGCCGATTCACCCTCCCGATTGCGAGTTGCGGGGAAAGGGAGAGTCGGTGCGGTATAGTAGCGTCCGGTGAAGACATTGCACAGCGTCAGGTTCAGCGAAAGGCACACGAACGTCGCACGGATCGCGCGAAGCGACGGCGCCATCGCACAAGGCCTAAGCGAGGCGGAGTGTGAGTTTGAGGCGCCTGGAAACCATCAGTAAGAGGTATCGCTGACGGATAGACTCGCGCAAACAATGTGCGACGGGTGGGAGGTTACGACGATCTTAGGAGGTCCGCATTGACGCTGATCGATGTATTGGAGAGATGAGTCGAGCTCGCTATAGGACTACGAAAATTCGACGATAATCCGTCTTTCCTCCTTAGCCGATGATTGTATCAAACGAAATTCGACGTTCGCCTTGATTCGACGACTTTATCACTTGGTCTCGCGACGAAGTCTTTGTGACAAAGACAGCGACTAAGGTTGTTGCGACACTCCTGCGAACAATCCTGTTGTGAAGCCTTGCAGCTTTAGTGCGTGCGTTCCCAGGGCCAGCCCTGCTTTGAGGAAATGCTGTCCCCCTATGTCTAGGCTCTGGTAATGCATAGAATATTCTGTGATTTACATCCTGTACTTATTGTGCCAGTGCTTACGTTTCTATCATGTACGTTAATTGTTGCAGAATGCTTACAACTCACATAACCATACCGTATGGTTACTGGTACCAAAGGATAATCAGGAGAGAACAAGGCACAGAAACTGCCTGAAGTCCAGTGTCCAATGTCTCTGAAGGCACAATGTTCAAAGCCAATACCCTAACAGAAACATTCACAACATCAACGTATAAACTACGGTACATGACACAAAATGTCCAACGAAATTATCGCATCAAGGCAAATTCAGGATACCGGTAGAGATCAATCGGACTCCGCATATAAAAGAAAGGCATGGGACCACAATGAACCTCTCTTGGCCATCAGGACTGCTGCCCCGATGTTCACCCGAACACCACGATGAGGTGGAGGTTCGACGTTCGGGAAAAAATGTTTACCACCGATGGCCATTGGGAACCAACGGCCATCTGTCCCACCTTGCCAGCACAAGGAGGAGCATACAGTCACCCCCTTTCGGGAACATCACCTCTCGAGTGGATGTATTTTGAGGTGCAAAGAGCGGAAGCGGAAAAGCGCGAACTGGCACAAGACTCAAATCCACCCCCTGGCGTAGCATGAGCTTGCCCGAACCAGAGCCTGCCGGCTCGGCTCCAGCAGGGCCTTTTGTGCTTTAACGCGCAGGTTCGTTACTTGAGCACCGAGGGCCATCGCCGCGCTAGTTCCCCAGCCACCCCCGCACAACAACCCACAAACCACCCAAGGGTGCTGCCCTTACGAAAGCGCACTGCATGCTTGCACCCATGCTTTACCTTACGTACACACTCCCCACCCAACACCCCTTCCCATGCCAACGCTCATCCTCGCCAACGCTCCTCTCCTCGCCAACGCTCCTCTCCTCGCCAGCGCTCCTCTCCTCGCCAGCGCTCCTCTCCTCGCCAGCGCTCCTCTCCTCGCCAACGCTCCTCTCCTCGCCAGCGCTCCTCTCCTCGCCAGCGCTCCTCTCCTTGCCAGCCCTCCTCTCCTCGCCAACGCTCCTCTCCTCGCCAACGCTCCTCTCCTCGCCAGCGCTCCTCTCCTCGCCAGCGCTCCTCTCCTCGCCAGCGCTCCTCTCCTCGCCAGCGCTCCTCTCCTCGCCAGCGCTCCTCTCCTCGCCAGCGCTCCTCCTCGCCAACAAGGTGAAAACAAGAAGTACCTGGAAGTGGCACGCTATGAAGCACCGTCAGTGCTCGTCCCGTCGTCGCGCGTCGTACCTCCCGTCGACATTGATTGCCGCCGCGCCGCTGCTGCGCCGCCCGCTGCCGCCCCCCACGCCGCCCGAAACAGCCCCTGCCGCCCGAGAAGCTCCTCCCCCGCCGCCCCCAGCGCCAGGGGCCAGGCCTGGCGCTGCTCCCCGCTCCGCGGCGCCTGTCAGCGCGCCGCACGCCAGGCAGCTCAGGCTGGCGCTTCCGCCGAGGGTCAGCGAGCCCCCGGATCCGCTCCCGCCTCTGCCTGCGCCCGTCGGCGAGCCGAACGCGCCGCCCACGCTGGTTCCGATCCGCGCGGAGGGCTTGCGCGCGAGGGCGGCGGTGATGGCCTCTAAGAGCTGTGATTGGAGGAGCGGCTTGAGCGCGGGGAGGTGCGCGGAGCAACGCCAGTCAGCCATCTCCTCTCGGCAGCACCAACGCCAGCAAGCATCTTCTTGGCAAGAGACATCGCTCCAGCTCCAGTTCACTGCAGCATCGCTCCTGCACGGACAGAGACATTCGCAACATGTGAGATATCAAGACCGTCAGATATGCGACCGTCAAAAACGAAACGCGATCGTCAGAAGACTGAGCGGAAACGAGACACGAGCATCAAGAGAGCAGCAAAATAGCAACTGGAGACACTCCTCTTCAAGAGAGCGTTTCCTGAGAGCAGCAAAATAGCAACTGGGATTTGCACAAAAACTCACAGCAGTAGCGGCGCGAGCGGCGACGTATTCGCGTCGTCCAATCCACGAAGCTGCTCCTCCTCCGTCGATCAATATAATGGCTCCTCCTTCAAGCTCGGGACGTCGCGAGCTTCGTAGGGACGTTGCGCGCAGCTCTTTTCTCCTCCGTCATCCCATTGTCGCGAGCGTCGACGGCCTCGCAAGCTCTTTCGGGTTGACGAAACGCTTCTCCGCCATCAGGGATTTCGCGAGCTTGGAAAGAGCATCCGCGTCGACTTCACGAAGCGTGTCATCGACATCTCTTCCATCATGCATCGGGATGGTGGTCGGACGGCGTCGCGCGACTGCATCTGTTAGTTGTTGGAAGCGTAGTCATCAGCGTAGTCGGACGGCGTCGCGTCGCGTCTTTGTTAACGTCGCTGTTGCGTCAACGATTCGTTGCTGGAAGCGACCATGCATGCTGCGAGACCAATATGTGCTTGTTGAAGAAAGATGCTGCGAGATTCGCACTCGGGAAGATGCTCTTCGCTTCATTTGCAGCGGACATCTTCCGTCGCAACGTCGCGAACGCGAAATGCTAAGTCGAATCGTCCTACAAGAAACCTAAGCACGGAACGCCGTCGTAGGACGAAGAATGACCGACGGGAAACGTCATCGTGTAAGGAATGTTCAGGCCGAGAGTCTGACGTCAAATAGAAACTGATCTTAAACGAAGTTGATGGGATATATTCGCTCAAACGGAGTTGCAGCAGATTCACGAGTCACGACCCACAAGGCGGAGGGAATGATCAAGCGAAGAAGAGAGGAGAGGGGTGGAGATGAAAGAAGGGCTGCGTTCTGCAGGCATCTCCCTTGGGAGGGAGGTGGGAGGGCGAAGGGAAATGACGATGGTTCTTAGGCAGTTTCCCCTTCGAATACCCCCCCCCCCCCGCTACAACCGAAAGTTGGAAATTTCGGGTTTAGGGTGAGAAGCTGCTGAAGGTAAATGCCGAAAAAACAGCCACAATTTCCAAGAGATAGAGGTGGGGTACAGAGAACTGCACGAAATCAGAAAAAGGGTTGAAGTTTAGCCAAGGGCTACCACGTAGAAAAGGGTTTTCAACTCTGTTCGAGGAGGTTGGTGGCTTGTGCTTTTTTTACCTAGGTTGACGCGTCCCTGTTTGAGCTACTTAAAGGAGGGGCTGTTTGCTTTCTAGGGTTCAACCGTGGTGTTCCCTAACCCAGCGCCTCCCTCCCCCTCCGTCTCACATCCCGGGCAAGAGCAGTTTCCGAAAGGGGGGGAGGAGGCAAATTTTGCCAGAGAAGGAAGCTGGGGTGGGGAAATAGGCAGCTTCCTACGCCCTCATATCCACGAGTGTAAATGGCTGTTCTGTTGCCATTTACCTTCGTTTACGTTCGGAGGGTAAATGGGAGGCTCGGATCCATTTTCCGGGCTGACCGAGCGTTTGATCCAAAAAACGCAGTTGGGGGAAGGTTCCTATTTACCGCCTGGCCCCTCTGTCGTGCCTGCAGAACGCAGCCGAGAGAAGTGGAGCGAAGAGGAGAGTGGTGGAGAGCCGAAAGAAAGGGATGTGCGGGAAGGGAAGTCGCCACCATGCACCCCTTCCCTGATACAACCCCAAGGAGGGAACGCGCTGTGCAGTCTGGCTGCGGGAAATTTGCGCTGACAGGGCGGCAAGCTTTGGGAAGTTGGCGGAGGAGGTGCGCTGACGGCGGGGAGCCGCGAAGAACGTCCGATGCTCTGGCGATCGGACTTAGTTGTCGCCAGTGTTGGAAAGAAACCATACTCTGATGTGGAGATCATGTTACCATGTTTTCGCGGGAGAGGTGCCTGACATCTACGGCGTTGGATAGGGTGGTGATGGTGAGGTGAGGTTTACTGACAGGCAGCAACACTATTGGCTCGGATCTTGTGGAAGTTTCAAAATTGAGTTGACCGTCACGTCAACCGTTTGGAGGGAAAAAACGTTTTCCGGCACCATCCCCCTCGAGGGCATGACATATTACGTGTTTCGATATACAAATGTTTCTGTGCACACGTTGATTCAAAGCAAGCATACCGCTAAATCGGGGACTAAACCATTAACAAAATGTAATGGTCCAAGGTGGCTCAATATCAGTTTTGGTGCTTCTCAGGGTACATTCCGCTGTGGACACTGTCCCAATCGAAAGTGTCCCAATCGATTCTACCACACTGCATCGTCCCACACCGAATTATACCCTAGTTTCAAACATTGTCGAAATTTTCGCGTCTCAGGTTTAGTTCGGTTTGGAGCGGTACACTCGATTGGGACACTTTCGATTGGGACAGTGTCCACAGCGGAATGTACCCTCATAATTGCACTTTCCTAATGTCGCATCATCAATTTAAAAAATGTTGTGAAATAAGGTAACCAGCATATGGTCACCTTTTATGCTTTATATCGTAGCTCAACACTGCAATGACATGGTGCGTTGTGGATAAGGCGCCCTCAATAGGGGCAAGACCCCAGGGTGAGCTTTGAGTAGAGGCAAAGAGCCATGGAGCAATGGAGGCATTAAAGTCTTCAAATCGAGACACGAGTAAAGCCTCCCAGTCTACCTGAATGGAAGCGACATGACGAAGGTGGTGTATGAATGAAACTCATACGATTAATAGTGTGGTTACTGATCGTGCCGAACTCCGGTCTAGAGTCAGAGCTCAAGTGTTGTGCTATTCTATCGAAGTGTGTTCTTCTTCCTCTCACCACACTTCTATAGAACCACTGGAGGGCTTATTTGCTGGTTGACGATAAGCCACTCCTTTCTGCATCCCAGCCCCAAGTGCAACCACCTGGCACAGCTCAGCCTACCTGCACCCCATGGGGGACGAGCGCAGTGGTTTCCATGTCCGCAGCCATGGAGAGGCCGAGGATGGAGACCACCCCCACCATGGCGGACCCGCGCGTCAGCGGCATCAGCTGGAACCTGTTGGGGAGTAACGGTGGGGAGGCGCGGATGTGAAGTGAAGGCCATGACCCCTGCCATGAACACATATAAGTACCCCCATGCATAAACAGCCGTGGATGTGTAATGTACTGACCAGAAGTACCCCAGCCACGAGCATGGAGAGCACCCCATGGTAGTGTGCCGTACTGACCAGAAGTACCCCAGGCGGAGGATGGCGTCTTGAATCGTCTGGCGGTAGCGATGTGGGTCCGCTGCCTCTGTGTGTGCGTCCAGCACTGCCGCACACAGCGCCTGGTGTGAGGGGGGATGGGGAATCAGGAATGGATGGGCCAACGAGAGGTAGGATGTCGATTCAGCATCTGAGGCGTGCAGCACTGCCACACAAGAGACAGAGACAGACTTGCAGATACGCGGCGCAGTGAAAGGGAGCCGCGTCAAACTGATATGGCACGCAGAGCAAGATTCATGCGCCTGGGCTTGAAGCGAAGAGAGATAGGTTGCATGGCAAAGGGGAGGCGCAAATGCTTATGAGTCATGCATGCCTGACCTGCCATGAGTCATGCATGGCTGACCTGCCATGAGTCATGCATGGCTGACCTGCCATGCAGCAGCGAGCTCTTGGTCGAAGTCGTGCCACCGTTGAGGGCTGACTGGTGTGTGTGTGTAGAAGCTGAAGGCGTGTGTGCTGGGATGGTACAGACAGACAAACAGGGGCGAGTGAATGTGGTGTGTGAAAGACAGATGGAGCTTCAGTGGAAAAGGAGGGGGGGTGGTTGGAATGGACAGGGAAAGGTGGTGTGGAGGGATGAGAGAGCATGTGAGGGGAAAATGTGGGGTAGCACATGGCCTCACCTGTCATAAATTCAATGAGTAAGCGGCTAATCACGAGAATGTGCAAGCAAAGAAGGCTGATGGGAACTGGGTGGTAAACAGTGTGCTCTAGCTGATGCGTGGGGGAAGTGGCAGAATTGAGAAAGCATGAGGCAATGGCTTACTTACCTCTTAAGGATTTCAAACATTGATCCGGTCAGGTCCTTCCTGCATGGGCTTGGGCATGCATGAGATGGGAGGATGTGAGGAGGTTACAGAGACGATGAAATGAGAGTACAGAGCAATACGTGTGGCATGCACTCTGAGACCTCATGGCCGGGGCATGGAACAGGACATACAGTACTGCTCAAATGCTCAGCTGTAGCAGGGAAGGCGTACCCAGGAACGGCATGGCTGTAGCAGGGTGCTTGCACGAGAAAGTCCTTTCCCACAGCCTGATGAAACGCCTGGAGGTCAGCCGCCCTGGTGATCTGAGGAAGGATGGGGAGGCGAAGAGGAGGGGACGGGAGACGGGCGCAAGGTGGCAAGGTTGAGAGGAAGTCCTTTCCCACAGCCTGGTGAATTCCTTTCCCACAGCCTGGTGAATTCCTTTCCCACAGCCTGGTGAATTCCTTTCCCACAGCCTGGTGAATTCCTTTCCCACAGCCTGGTGAATTCCTTTCCCACAGCCTGGTGAATTCCTTTCCCACAGCCTGGTGAATTGCATGGAGGTCAGCCACCCTGGTGATCTGAGGAAGGATGGGGAGAAGTGGGCGAGAGGAATCTAGTGTTGAGGCGCCTGAACACCAGAAAGTCCTTTACCACAGCCTCATGAAGGGCTGCACCGCCCGCTCATACGCTGCACCGCTCGCTCATATGCTGCACCGCCAGCTTATACGCTGCACCGCCTGCTCATACGCTGCACCGCACACGCTCATACGCTGCACCACCCGCTCAAACGCTGCTGATGCTCATGTGCTGGTGCTCGCCAC